CATTTTCGTCTCCTCTTCCCCGAGTTATGATCTCTAGAAGTCATCGCCATCATTTTGTCCGAGGACTTATGACTCAACCTAATACTAAGCACATCAGTGTCTACCACAATTTTCCTCTCTTGACATCGGAAATAACATAACGCCGAACAATTTTTTTCTGGCGATTGAAAATGGAGGATTCTTGGAAGGGCTGTAAACGAGCATGTCACTCATTCCTTCACGGGCTACCTTTCACGACTGAACTAACCTGTTCTTTCAGCATTGACTAATTCCGCATGCGCAAAACTAGTGGACGCCACTTCAGCTTGATCCTGCAAATGAAAACCTTTTTATAATGATCAGGTAATAACTAGGAATATTCGCTTATTCATGTAAGTTGTAGCTGCTGAAGAAGATAATTCTCTGTAGCTCGACAAATTGTGACAAAATATTTCTATAGTTTGCAAACAGTGAGGGCGATATTGAATGATGGGAAAGGAAAATGTCGGAAATAATGGAGTGAGTGAGGGAAAAATGAGGTAGTCGACGCTAACTATACCCTGGGTAACAGATCCCAACTTATTATTAGACAGTGGAATATCTGGCACAGATAGGAACATATACCGAGTTTGGTACGAAGGCGACAGTCCCCATATAAATGAGTTGAATACTGACCATATTTTCACCAGTTCCATTCCACCGTTTCCATGAAATTGATTTGCAAAGGCTAGGGCGTAAATAGCGAGTCTTATGGATGAAGCAAGGAATCTCAGAATGAGCTAGGTAACAGAGATATTCGGAATGCAGTTTGTATTACTCAGCGATGCTTAAATTTTTCTTTACATATCATCGGCTATTAGCAGATAAAATGAGTAACTGGTGTACACATTAGAATGGTTCTCTGATGGTTGTTCTCACAATTATAACGAATTTTCGGAGAATGTCATACGCTCATGAAAACAGAAATGCAAAAGACACATGCGAGTATCCCATGCATAGTTTAATAATACCTGTTGAACGGTTATGTGCGTCCCTCCATTACCTGAGTTGGCAGGATGCGCGGATCCATCTCGGACAACAGCCCGGGTATGAACGGACACAGTTACTTGCTGAACATCTAGTGGACTTGCTGGCTAAAACTAATGTATATGAAATTCAATCAGTTTAGGATTAGTCCTGAACTGGTTATCGTGATGCTTAATCTGAACATTAGGAATGCCGATAAAAATTTGATGCATGGAACTTTTTGCAAATTCGTTCGAAATTAGACTTTTTCAAACAAAAATAAAATATTCAAAATTATCGGCACATCATTATCAACAGGAATGTCGATAAAAATTATCAGGAAAAAACTACACAGTGGAAGACGATTTCAAAAAAAGTACGCAAACCCCTACAACCAGCTCTTAATCAAAACCTTAAAGACAGAATTCTAATTTGAAAAAAAATTCAATTTAGTTGAAAAACTTACCGGTGCTGGGTCTATCTCAGTCAAAATACGTTGAAGGCGATCCTGATACAGTATCAGGGGCATTTCATAATGGTGAAAAAAGAATATCATCGAGTGCTGAAACGGTTTTTGGTTCAAATAGAATTAGGAGCCGGATAGCAAAATAATGATATACAGAAATAAGAAAAGAGTTCGTACAAATATGAATGCTGTTGAAGTGATGAGGGCCATTCCACCGTATTGACCACCGAAACGATACTGATAGGCGTAAAAGAAAAATTGGTATAGATAGAAAAACCTAAACAACCGTTTCAAATGCATCACAAATCCAACCTAATAAGTCAGACATATACCAGGAGGTAAAAATAAATCACTTACCTCAACCAAAAGCGTTTGCTGACATGCGAATGGCAGCAGATCGCGTCGTACTGATCAGCAATCCAAACAATCAGTATCACATAAAAAGCTGTGGTGGTGTCAGCAAATACTTCTGACATTATTGCTTCCATGCCTAAACCAGTTTTTTTCAGTGAAGTAAGTGGAAAGTGATTTTAAATGAATTGTAAACGAACTATGTCGCCCTTGATTTTACCCCACGACACCATCCATGAATGCTTTACGTAAACTTTCATAAGGATTACGGGAAGTAGAGAGGATAAACGACGATGATATAATTTAAAAACAAATGAACAGAAATGAAAAAAAAAACGTAACATACCAACTAAAGCTAATATGACTGTGAGCAAAGGTGCCGCTGGAAAAACGAGGGGCTGATTGAGCTCGAACATATGCAATAAATCAACTATGAATAAGAAAATTTGGTGATGTGAGAATCGAAGCAGCATTGATATGGCGAATGTCTGAAAAAATGAACAACTCTTAAACGTAAGTAAATAAGCGTTTGAGATAGCAAACAAAATAAATCATGGCTCCTTGATTTTTTAATATCACCTTTAATGCTTCTTGGAAAGTTACTAAGTAGAGCTCCTCTTTACAACATTTTTAAAGCTTATTGGAAAACTATAGTGAAAACTCTCACGAAAAATGGGCTTCAGATGAGCTCAACTCTCTCAATACTTCCTGGTTTTCGAATGAAAATAGAATGATAGGCAAAAAATGAAGATAAACAAATGGAATATTCGTAGTTGCAGACTCAGGATACTTCAATGAAGACTTTTTCTTTTTTT